CCCCCCCCCAAAAAGCATGAATAGCTTTTAGGGAGCTTGCAGAGTGCTCCTGGGGGGGCCCCCCCCAAATTAAAAAAAAAATTTTTTTGCAGTCTGCAAACCTCCCCAAAACGGCCCATTCTTCATGGAAACGGCCCTGTTTCCCCCCCCCCAAAAGGCATGAATAGCTTTTAGGGAGCTTGCAGAGTGCTCCTGGGGGTGCCCCCCCCAAATTAACAAAAAATGGCCCATTTTTCATGAAAACAGGCCCATTTTTGTCACAAATATTGCATGCATAGCCTTTAGGAGGCTTAGAATATTCCTGGGGGCTGAGGGGAGCAAAATTGAGCCAAAAAACCAGCCCTTTTTCACTGATTTCTGCCTTCCCTAGCCCCCAGGAGCTCTCAGAAAGCCTTCTGCAGGCTCTGCACAGCCATTTTGGTGAAGGGGGAGGGGTTTTGGGAGGCCAAAAATGCTGAATTCAGTGTATAAGACGCACCCAGATTTTCAGCCTCTTTTTTGAGGGAAAAAGGTGCGTCTTATACTCCGAAAAATATGGTAATTGTCTCCTGCAAATCCCATTCTCCTTTCGCTCCTCTTTATTCCCTATGGGAGTGGCCATTCACTGTCTACCTGTGGCCTTAATCCCGAGTGGACCCTTGTTCCTTATGTGAACAGGCTCCAGCTGTTCTTCTGCCCGATTGATATCCAACTCCGAAGGGATCTGATAACTGTCAGATGGCCCTGGCCCCATCTCTGCCTCCAATACAGAGCACTCATCAGAGCCTTCCCCAGACTCCAGGACTGGCCCATGTTCCTTCCCAACCTCCTCACTGTCTGAGTCTGCCACCAGCTCCACTGGCCGCTGGCGGGCGACAACAAGGAACTGATCCCTGTTTTCCCACTGTTACAAGCAGCAGGAAACCAGGAACGTGTACACACATGCCCCAGTCTGCCCCAGATAATTCTCTATGTGGCCATCAGAGAACATGTTGAATTGTTTGAATCAAGCTATCTTACTGATATACTGATTTTCTTCTCATTAAGAGAGAATATTATATCCCTTCTTTGTATGTAAATTTTGCCCGTTTCATGTTCAGGAAATTAATTTAAACCTTACCTGTATGTGTCCTCTTATGGCCGTTAAGTTTGCCTTTATCAGCAAAAGATGCCCCACACTCCTCACAGATATATGGCTTTTCACCTGTGTGTGACCTGCATTCAGAGGAATATGGAAATGCTGTCCAAACGATTTAAAACCAAATTTCACTGCAAATTTTGCAAGGGGTTCATCAAAAGCTTAGACTGCAAACCCAAAATATGCAAGAAAGCAACTCGATACTAAGAAGCTGCCTCCACTTAACGATTTGGACAAAATAATTTCCCCGGGGTTTTTTCAGAGGCATATAACATTTAAGGACTTGTAAACTGATGATTAGGAAACTGGGTGGAGCAAACACCAAAAAAAGCTGATTTCATTCCATTTTAACTTATACTAGATTAAAACGACAGTATTTGATTGTAGTGAAATAAAATTCTAATTAAATCCACAGAGTTTATTTCACTGTCCTCTATGGATTTAATAACGTAGCCTTCTATCATATTAGAAATTAGGCAGTAACTTTGCAGCAGCCAATTCCAGGGCTTTGAGGGGAGACGGAGCAATAGGAAGTATCACGTAACTCTCTTGACTAGGGCAAAATGAAGGTAGATGCAACTCTGGAGTTGAAAACCTCGATTGATGAAATAAAGAGTCCTTATTTTTATACCTGTTTAAGAGCTCATGAGAAGTAACAGAGAAAATAAATCACCAATTCAAGGAAATAGTATTCTATTAAAATGGGGTGGGAGGTGGGGAGAGAATTGCTATTCTGGTTCAGATTCAGTTTAATAAGGGGTGGACATAGGGCCATGTGCAAGTAACATATCTTAAGGCTCTGCCTTTAAAAAAAATAAATGGAAATATTCCATTTATATAATAAACTAGCTGATAACCCGGTGTTGCCCGGGTATTTATTTATAGGGAGGAAATGTCTGGACCAAACATAGTTTCTAATGTTGGATTTTCCCCTTTACCAGAGGGAGCCCCCTTGTGAAGCCATGACCATGGCAACTCCACTGCACTGTACAGTAGAAGCCATTTTACAGCAGTACAATAGAAGCCATTTTACAGCAGTACAATAGAAGCCATTTTCAGACACAACAGGCTGTATCTTAACAACCTAACCCCACCCCGGGGTATTAGAGGTGTCTTACCCCCACAGTATTTTTTTCCAGAGAGTAAGTCATCTGTGTACCAAGTTTGGTTGAAACTGCTCAAGGCATTCCAGAGTTATGCTGGAACGAACACACACACACACACACACACACACAGCTATTTAGATGGATGGATGGATGGATGGATGGATGGATGGATGGATGGAT